GTGGGTCTCGCAATCCGGTGATGCTGAGTTTGAGTCTCACTGTGGCCACTAGCTGAGACTGTACATGTTTGTGTCCTGGTTTCTGATTAGCTCAGATTCAGTTTCTCGACCATGCTTGTAAATAGCCTACTGGTTTGCCTACTTGCCAGTTGGGATTCTTAAAACACTTTATGTTTCTTTGATTATTTCTTCATTTCAGTTTCATTTCAGTGTCYCCAATTAGTTGTATAAACTAAATACATCCATGGACACTTAAATGAAGTTATTTATTTCATTTTATTTTAATACTTACAGAATCAATGAGTTCGCTGTAATGGAAGAACATCCTAGCATCACGATCACAGCAACGGATGAATCCGAAGCCTTCCTTGAGGGCAGTGACCCAACCCTATTGTCAATAAAATCAGTTAACACAGTCTGGTCTGATAATAAATGCAAAATAAGAAATTTTTTTTCGATGCACGGCTAAAAAGATTTAGGCCAAACAAAAAATTAAGTGTGTTTTCTGTTGCATGACAAAAATAAGTGGGGTTGGTAGGTTGGATTTTTTTACTGATACAACAGCTTACTGGGAACCCTGTGGTGCATTTGTGAATGTATTAGGCAAAACAAAAATGTATTAGGCAAAACAAAAAAATAAGTGTGTTCCTGTTGCATGAGAAAAATAATTGGAGTCGGTAGTTGGTTTTTTTTTACTGATACAACAGTGGAAATGAGCTTACTGGGAACCCTGTGGTGCATTTGGGAATGAACAAAATATTAGGGTCTGCAAAACACATATTTTTTGTTTGGCCTAATTATCTAAAGCCGAAAATAAGATCTTTTTTTTTTGTCGCTCAACCATAATTATATTAGATTCTAAACCTTTTTCTCTGTCCTAAATTAATGTCTTTTCTTTTCCTACTACTGTTTCTTTATGTATTCAGGGCTTTAAATAAACGCTGGTAAGTCGCCGGCCAAAATGACGTTTTGGTTCAACGTTCAGAATGACTGGTAAGGTAAAAGCTTGACTGAACAAGTTCCGATTCTGGGTGGGCATTGTCCGATGTCCTACCATTATTTTAAGCCCTTTGTATTAGACTTTTTTTTTTGTAATTCTCCATTAATAATTATATTCAGGGTCCGAAATTAACTTTTGATCTAAGTGGTCCTTTGGACAACCATGTTCTAATTCTTAGGCGTCCAGAGCAAAACTTAGGAGCCCACTTGGACGCCATTTCATAGAGCCTGAATGACAATGGTCAGCCGTTAGCTATAATGCAGAAGATACAATCAAATTTGTCAGCGGTATTCAATGACTTCCGACAAATGTGATATCTTGAATTTTTGAAAGTTTATCAGCTGAAAAATGATTTTTCTAGGTTTTAAGTAGAAGAAATATAATTTAGAATTATATTCAGACTTAACGGCCTCTTTTATTTTTTTATAAAAGAAAACACCTTGGCAAAAACATAGGTTGTCAGAAGGACAACCACATTCCAAAATCTAGTCATCATTTGCAAACTTTAGTCGTTCCTGACGACTGGACGACAGCTTATTTCGGACCCTGTATATTATTATTATTAATCATTTTGTAAAATCAGCATATAGATCCCCTTATATAAATTTATATGTTTAAATAAAAAAAACAATAATTCAAACRCACTGTTTTCTAAGATAAAAGATTGGTTAAAAAAAGCGTATATAACATTACCTGAATTGAATTYAAAAARCRTAAYATTAGGAGGAAGTAAAAATGTAATGGAGGAATTTCTCTTTCTATTATATAAATATGTATTATATAATGCTAGAATTAGAGGCTCTAGGCCCAATATTATTGTATTTCAAATGAAACTTTTAGAATATGAAAAAATAGAAAGAAGAATTGCCAGTAAAAAAGGCAAGTTGCACTCTCATGTAAATAAATATCAAAATCTTCAAGAACTATTATCTGAATTAAGACAAGTAAGCCCGTAGCACCATCTGTAACCACTATTTGTAATTATTTGTATTATTTGTTATGTGTACTCATGATTTATGTTTGTTAATAAAAAAAAACAAAACAAACAATTATTATATTCTTTGATATTCATTATTGCTATTTCATGACATACCATCTCTCTCTGCTCTCCATTTTGAGGATCAGCAACTTTAACCAAGGTGATGTTGGTTGCTCTTTTCAGGAAATCACGGCGGTCTGAGAAGGAAATCAAACAGTAAGGAAAATGATAATGACAGCCGTCTGGTAGATAATACAGGATGGAACTAAGAACAAAACCTTTTTGATTTACTGTTTAGTTTATACATACATTACAAAATATCATATTATAAGCCCAGATGTCGGAATGCGGCCCAATTTGGAAGACATAACAATAGGTTTTCATTTCTCATGAGATTGAAATTCTTTTGTTCTGGTTCCAGTTGTACGAAGGGTGGATAGCGCTATCCAACGGATAAATCTTATATAGGGGATAAATTTATTGGATAACAGCATTGACTTATCTACTGGATAAGGTTTATCCACCAGATAGCGCTATCCACCCTTCGTACAACCAGGCCCTTTCCTTCAAATTGAGCTGCTTTGACATCACATGCAAGGAATAGCACAGTGCACTGATTCTAAAAATAGCTTAAAGATTCGCACAAACATTGCATTCTGTTTAACCGCTACGAGGATTATACAAACCGATTTTATTATTTTTACTTAAAGTTACAATAATAACCCATGTAAACTAAGATCAACTGTGATCAGCTATGAAAAATTATCTGCTGAAAGTAAACTTGTAAGTTTGTTTGTCCGAATTTCGCCTTTGTCTTCGTTTTTATAACGTCACGGCTGTGCTGCGCTATTGATATTAGGCCTGGAACATTAATTATTATAATCAAGACCAATGATGCTTACCAACTGCAATATTAAACTGCACAACATCCTTGGGTCTCAGAGTGAATTCTCCATGGAGGTCTCTCTCACTGAACACAATCTCCTGGTTGGGGCCTTGTTCATCTTCGTAGATGATCTTTCCATGCAGGGGGTCGTGCTGTCGCTTAGCAACAGACTTGCTCAAAGCTTTATCTACAGTGCCAGTGTAGGTTTCTTCGCTGATGTCTTCGAACGTGACGGTTCCTTCTGGCAGCTTCTCCACTCGCACAGCTACCTCTTTGCTCTTAAAATTTAGTTGAAGAGGTTTAGATATATAATATTTTCCAAGTAAACATCTTCAAAAAAATCTTAAATTTTGAAATTGAAATTTTGTTTACAAGTCTCCAGTTTTAGTTGGAAATACATGAAATAAGTCATTTGCTGTCATTTGCTGTGGCGGCACCYGTTCTCTGGAACGCACTTCCCGCAGACCTTCGCTCCATTAAAGATGTTAGTTTGTTTAAGCGCCATCTTAAGACCCACCTTTTTAAATTAGCATTTTGATAGTTTTTTTAGTATTCATCAATATATTTATTCATTTTATTTGTAAATAGTTATATAGTTATATATATATTATTATTGTAATGCGCGCATGATCATTGTATGGAATGCAAGCACAATAAGTGATTAAATTATTATTATTATTATTATAAGGGAAAGCACCGGTGGTGTGCGCTGCTAATGCGTCGCCTTTCACCAATATGGCCGGAGTTCGAGTCCTGCCCATCTCAATGTATAAGATACAACTCCATTTTCTTTAATAGTTTTGATCAAGATGGTTACAAGTTTATACATTAAATTAGAAAATCAAGATACTATGATGTGACAATGTGGTAGTGACTCAAGCTCGATTCCCAGGCTTGGTTTTGTATGTGAGTAGAGTCGTTGAAATGTGTTTTTGTCACTCAGTAAAGATCTACATGTTAAGTGTAAGCTACATTGAGTGTATAAGCAGATTAAGAAATCTGCCTCAGTTAGTTTCTCGCGGGACTCAAACCACTGACCTCTCGTTTGCTAGACGAGATCTCATCCGCTCGGCCACTGAGGCTTTACGGGAGAAGGTCGTGTTAGATCTATATTTTAATCAAATCCTGTGCTTCAAGGGTTTGTTTTGTCCTCCAAATTGAGCTGCTTTGACCTCACATGCAAGGGGTCTATTAGGTATGCTGTACTTACATTTCTAGGTTGGATAGTGAATTCCACATCATCTCCCAGCATCAGCTCATCAATGTCTCCATTGAACTCGCTGTAGTGGAAGAAAATCTGAAGAAACACAAAACAAACAATTTTTTATTATTTTATTTTTGAATCTTATTAACCGAGCGGGAGGTCTATACGGGATAATCTTGACCGAGGTCTGCACCCAACTGAGGTCAAGATTATCCCATACAGACCGACCAGGCTCAGTTGATAAGAGTTTTATTATATGACTACTTTTCATTGATAAGGACAAAATGTTTTCGCTGTAAGATTAATATGCAATCGGACCGGTTAATACCGGAGAATCTAGACCAGTCCGCGATGCAATCTATCCAATCAGATTGCTCGATTTGCTAGTGTCCAGGCTCTAAGATTCACGGTCATATAATAAATCTATTATTTTGTTTACTTATTGTATATATTTTTATAAGCATTTGAATTTAGCTGTAACAAAGAGCAATGCCATGCAGACTTACCTCACTAACTTTATCTGCTCTTTCAATGAATCCAAATGACTCTTTCATGGATGACACAACTCCCTAAAAAAGGAAAAAATGGATGAATGAAAAAGGAAGGAGGGAAGGTGGAAAGAGGGAAGCAAGGAAGGAGGGAAGGATGGGAGGAAGGGAAGGAGGGAGGAAGGGCAGGAAGGGAAGGAGGGAGGAAGGGAAGGAGGGAGGATGGAAGGAAAGGAAGAAATAAGYATGGGTGAATCACAGTTAGACTGTTCTTCTAATGTGCCAACTTTAACCACTATGGTCATGAATTGGTTTGACCCACAGACCTGTCATCCAAAGTCAGTAGACTCTGCTTTAAAGGTGATGTCTAGCTTCTTCAGGAGAGGCATCATAGGCACCCTAGGACCCACTGTTTAAATCCCTCTATCTTATTTTTTGTATAATTTATTGGAAAACTTTGTAAATATTTCTAACGTAAGTAATAAAATTATTGTTGTAAAGCTATTGGATTATGATTTTGATGATTTGGCAAGAAGCTTACTTGATACTTTTCTGTCTTAGCAGTCTCCTTTAACTCCACATGTTTAGCTCTAACAATACCATTCCTTTAAAAACAACATGAAAAAACTCAATGTTACAGTATATGAAAGCCAATGCACACAATCTTTCATCCTCTGAACTCTCTGAACATAAAACCTGCAAAAAAATGTCAGTGCGACGAAGCAAGTATGCAGAAAAAGTGATACTGTAGATATAAATATACTATAAGGGAATCAAGGGTTGTGTAGCACAGGGGTGTACTTGCCTCCCACCTCTGGGGTCTATGTTTTGATCCCTGGATTCAGAATCACATGTGGGAAAAATTAGTTAGTTTTTTGATTTTCCTCCCTCCTCAATTACTGATATGCTATATTGTAACTTCATCTGTGAGTTAGCTGTGCCCTGAATGATCAGCCAAGAGGTTGTTTCAAGGTTTGATTTGTGAGTTAGCCATGCCCTGACTTAGATTAGCCCATAGGTTGTTTCAGTGTTCAA